CACGAAACAAACATACCAAAAGTTTACATACTATTCATGTCAAAAATCTATATTTAGCAGTAGTTTCTTTTTTAATGTGACCATAAGATTACAGATTGGTTTACTCTCTCAAAAAATACATTTAATTTTAAGTATATTTAGTTTTTCAGTTGTGAATATACATTTTTTTTTTTCTTTCAAATGAATATTGTATAGAATTTCCTGTTTTGTTAAATTGTAGATAATTACTAAAATTACAGGAAAAAATTACATGTTAACCATAAACTAAACAGGCCAAAACTGATAAATGCATAAAGTTCTCTTTTTAAAAAATGACAGGATTTTTACTGAATTTTAATCAACAACAACAAAAAAATCTGATATTTGCTGTTTCCATTTTTTTCAATTTTTTTTTAACAGAGCTTCCTTGCTGCCATATTTACACTGTTTCTTTGCAGAGTTTTTTCTTTTTCTTTTTCTTTTTTTTTTTTTTACACATGAAGCAGCAGCAGGCATTGTGAACAAAGGCTGTAGTGTTTTGAGGTTGGGGGATTTAACTGGTGTATTTACGAAACCAATGTCCTGCTTAAAGGAGGAACAAGTTTATGAATTTACAAACTGCAGTACAGCTTGTATTTCCATAAACCTCTCTGTCGATACATGACAAGCAGAAGCATAGTTTTTCATGCACTGATCAATTTTGAGACTGTTCTGTGTTTATTCTACAACATTTTGTTGGACACAGAATTTCAGTACATTTGGAGCCTCTAACAGGAGCATGTGCATCTTCACCTGCATGCTGACTTCAGCTTTCGCTTTCCAAAACATGTATCTATGGCAACAACCTGTCAGGGTTGCCAAGTCTGTAAGCTGGAGGCAAAAATGTTACTAGAGCTTCTGAAGCCAAATGGTCAAAGTGTGTAACTTCAAACCAACATGACATTATCTTTGGATGGACATTCAAAATTATATCACCTCTCCATAATTTCATCATGTCTACACTGAACAGTAAAATATTGAGCTTTTTTGACAAATAAATCAAACACTTTAGACAGATGATTTTGAAACTACAGATCCCAAAGTAGGAACTCTATGCAGGAATCCACCTGACCACTGAAACTAAACAGTCCATCTGACCTAAAATGAAAACTTCCTCCATTTTGGACCTATGTGCTGCGTCTATCTGCTTGTCTGCATCATGGCTACACTTTGAAAACAATTGCCAATGGACCTGAAAAATCTGACTGTGACACTTAACGAAGATGCAGAAAACAGACTAGTGAGCAACTAAAAATCAGTAAAACACAGTTGCAGCAGTGATCAGGTGGTATAGGAGTCATGGTACCACTAATCAGAGCTGCTATTGTCATCATGAAAAACAGATGGCAGCTGCTTCAGACTTGGCACAGGGGCTATCAGTGAAAATCAGAGTTTCTGTGACACTCAGACAGTGTGAAGGACACTTCAGAACATCAAGATCTAGGACGGAGGAGAATGTTTGTTGTGAACCTGACCAGGACTACCAGAGTGAATGCATAGTCCCGACAGTGAAGCATTGAGGTGGGAGTGTGATGATGTGGGCTTGCATAAGCGCATAAGGTGTTGGGAAGATGACATTTATAGATGCACCACAAATGTCTGTAGATAAGGCAAAATACTGACTAACAAGATGACTCCCAGTCTGCAGAAGCTTCAAGAAGATAAATATTCCAGCATGAGAACTATTCAAAGCACAAAACTAAAGAAAAAACAGTTCAGAAAACTACTACCAGGACAAGCATATGGCCTGACTTGAATCCAACAGAACACCTTTAGAATATTTTAGCCAGAAAGGTGGAGTAACACAACCCCTCCAGCCAAAAGCAGCTGAAACATTAATCTCTGAAGAATGAGAAAACATTTCTACAGACATCTTGTGTCCTTCATACTAACGAGGATCGAGTCTGTCATCAGAAACAAAAGTGGACATAAGAAGTAATAAAAAACATCAAAGATTAGAATCTCAGTAGTGAACAGTGGACTGACGTTTGGATTGGAATGAGACTCAAATATGTCTAGATCTTAAAGAGAAGCTTCCAAATACAGAGAACCTGTCAGGTGTGTTCACTTTCAGCCTGAACATGACCTTTGTTAAAACATCAGCATGTTTTCAGTGCTGGTGGAAAAGTTGAAAAAGACGTCTAGATGGGTCCTTTTATGACATATTATGAATTTGAAAGATTGTGTCCTTTGTGAGGCTGTTTTTAGCTAAAATACTATATGCTGCTTGTTGTGTGTGCGAAGCAACACATGAAGCTGGTGATTTTTGAGCACAAAATCACAAATACATTTCTTAATATTCTATTGTGTTAGACCTGTTACAAAAAACATGAAGACTTCAAATCTTTTACCTGGAGCAGTAAAGTAGAGAAACATCCATGGTGTCCATCCCCATTTTGTCATAATGAAGCTGTGATGCAGTTCTAACAAGTCTGCTGACGGTTGAACGCTCTGAATGCAGACGGACGAAGTGCATACAGGAGAGTTAAACCACTTCCTTATATATTGAGATGTCACTGCTGCAATGCCTTTAAACTGTAAACAAGTCAAACATCTACAGGCTTACACTCCCAGAGGTTTATCAGGGGTCTCATATAGAGAGCAAAAAGATGAAATAGACAAAGAAATGTGAAAGCACAGGAAGAGGAAGTGGTTCGATTGTTCTTTGCTGTTTAACAGGTTGGCATTTTACTCTAACATGCTGAGAACACAGTCCTCATTCACAGCTCTGGGTCTTTGACTGTAAGAAATACACGAAGAAAAAAAAAAAACAGCTTTAGCGCTTTTTAACTGTTTTGAACAGTTTACTGTTATTTTACAGATTTTCCCTGTTTTCAAAAATTATCAATAGTAATTAATAAAATTACAGGGGAAAAAGTGTTAAGTTACATGTTGGCTGTAAAAAACAAACAAACCCTAAACATCCATTATCTATACACTGCTTAAAGCTCACTGAGGTCGCAGGAGGCCTGGAGCCTATCCCAGCTGACTTAGATTGAAGGCAGGGGACACTCTGGACAGGTCACCAGTCTATCACAGGACTACACTTAGAGACAGACAACCAAGCATACTCACGGACAATTTAGAATCAGCATGTTTTTGGACTGTGGGAGGAATATTGAGAACCCGGAGAGAACTTACTCTGCACTGGGAGAACATGCAAACTCCTCACAGAAAGATCCTGGGCATTCTCAGCAGGAAGTAAACCGGGGATCTTCTAGCTGTGTCATAACGGTGCTAACCACAGAGCCACGACTACATTACTAATCTGCTGCTTCTCTTTAAAGCTTTTTAATAACTGCTTTAGACTTTGTTTTTGCTTCCTAGTTTTATTGATCAGACCTTTTCTTATTTTTTCTAAGTTTTTCAGATTAGTTTAGATATAATAAGACTGCTGCTCTCTGAATGACCCACTATCCTCACAGACAGGCCTCTGTATTACTTTTTCCATGTGTCATCCCATACAAGAGAAAAACTCAAGTTCTCATGCAATCATCTCATGTTTAACATTCATCAGGCATTTGTCAGTTGAGCCCTGAATGGAAACTATGGTGGCGTGTGCAAATTTAGCTCTATGTACAAATTTTGCAGAGGTGTGAAGACCACTTGCTTTGCGATAGGATATACAAAACAGGTCTCTATGCACTCAGTTGTTATACACCTACCTGTGGTAAAGGTGTGAAGGTTACGGTTGAGGTGTCTTTATATGTCTCCCTTGGGAGAAATGTGTTTTAGACAGAGGGGTCTGCTGCACAGACAACATATACCACTCATACAACACTAAAATAAACATCCAGAATACAGACACACCCATTACACTGTTACAAACATGGTTATCTGGATGACTCTTTCTGTTCATCCCGGGTTATCTGTTCATTCATGAGCTTCACTGACAGAGGGATGAATGAGTGTTTGTACCTGTTATGTTTACATAGTGGAACCCTATACCGTCTTCCTGAGTTAAATAGAGTATAATCAAGGTGCAGTGCATGAGAGGTATCTGATAAAGTATTGTCTGCCTGTCTAAGGGGCATTTGTTCTAGCAGGTCTTGGGAGGTTAGAGGTGCTGGACTAAAGAGGACTTTTCCTGCTGTCTAAAAACAATGTTTATAATGTCCTAATCATGCAGCTCTATAGCAGGGGTTCCCAAACTTTTCAGCCCGCGACCCCCAAAACAACGGTTCCTGAGACTGGCGACCCCCACTATCCCTGGAGGTGACTGAAACACAACAAAACGTGCACACGAAAGCACACACTTATAGGTGTATCCAAACACGGGCAAAATGACAACAAAAAGGAACAGAACAGCCTGACAACCATGATATGATTTTACATATAACAATTTACTACAGGATGAAAGCAGAACACATCAGTCAAAATTTCCATGTAACATAACATGTGGCACTGAGTGAGCATGTGAACATCGTTGCTGTGCAAATTTACATTTTGGGAATAACTATGTTTCAGTGTTGATCTCAACAAATGAGATGGATGGGCACTATATGCATGGAGCACAACATGTCCATTCTGCGACCCCCCCTCGGGGCCTCGGGACCCCCACTTTGGGAAACCCTGCTCTATAGCACATGTCGTTCTCTTACTTATAAAGGTGGGATAATACAGTATGTAAGGTTGTCAGTGTTCTCAATCGCTCAGATGTTATAAAACATTGCTGCAATCAAAGGTATTAACAAAGGTGGAACATTCTGATTCAAAATTCTGAAAATGTTTTGGGGATGATCTTGAGGAACACATTATGGAACATTCTTCTCATAAATACTCACAATATTTTATGGGCTGAGCAAACTTTTGAAATAGGCTGAAGTGAATAAAATGGGTGTTATTAATATTATTATTGTGCAACCCTGAGTTTAATCCCAGAATCTGAATTTTGAAATTTGGTAAACTGGCCTCATGGAACCAAAATAAAGTGAAAATAAGTGAGACTAACTGAATTAAGCTCGGTTTATTGGATAAAAACTTGCTCACCCAGTCCAAGAACTACAAATGAGTAAGTTGTATATATTCAAGCACACCGTGTTTACCCTGTAAAACTGGACCAAAATGAAGACGCTGGTGGATTATCTATACAATATTGGACAACACAAAAAATAAACAAAAGGAATATTAATAGAAAACACTGGAGGGCGCCAACAAGCCGATTGAGCTTAGAACAAGCAGAAACTCCATTACCCATACACCCCATCTGCCAGCGTATTACGTCAGAACGTCAGTCTGTAGGAGAATTTCAACATGGAGGACTTCGTAGCTGTAGAAAAGAGCCCGGTACGACTTATTGTCATTTGTTCCCTGATTTTTGCTTTAAGTGGACAAAATTTGTGTGGCAGTATTTTGAAAATACGCATTTTCGAGCGTAGCTGTCAGTCTGTGTGTTTGTCGCTCGCTGTCTCTTATCGTCTGTTAGCTCTCTAGCACTGCCGGAACGTAAACCTGCCAATTCATTCTCTACTCAGTGCAGTTGCTATGTCATGCAAGTTAGCTGCTAGTGTTAGCATTCTGTTTGTAGCGCAACTTAAATAATAGTGTTTTAAAGAAAATGAGAAGCTTGTCAATCCAAGTTCCCTAAAGATTTATTTTCATCATTTTAGTTGTGGTTTGTTTTAGTGCGCCTCTAAATAGTCATTTTTCGTCTTTGGGGCCGCTCAGGTTAGCTAGCCGTGAACTAGCTAAGACCAGCTAAGCTAATGTTTGTCTGTGTAAGGTCCTGAGTATATAAACATTTGTTCTTTGTGTGATTGTATCTGTAAAGTTAATTTTTTGGTATCATTTGTTACCGAGTTGTATTCTGTGCCATCGATATAATTTCTTGTCTGTCTGGGCGAAAATAATGCAGCTTTCTCGCTGACTGATGTGTGGCGTTAAATCCGTCAGTGTACTCATAATAAATGTATATTTGTGTGTTTATGTTGCTGCCGCAGGAAGACGTGCCGACCATACTGAGCTCCAGACCTCAGACCGGCTTGTCCTTCCTGGCACCAGAACCAGAGGATCTTGAGGACCTTTACAGCAGATACAAGGTTTGATGACCTGCTCACACAATAAACGCTTATTTACAAGAGCTTAACAAGTAGGGCGGGTACTAACGACTGTTTTTCCATTGATTACTCAGTTGACAATTTAAAGATCAAGTCAATTAATGTAAACAATTAAATTTTCTCAAAAAAAAAAAAAAAAACCAAAACGCCAGTTTTACTGAACATTTTTTTCCTTGATGAACTGTATGTCGTATGATGCAGCACAGTGTGGAATGCAAACAAAAGTTCACATATGCAAAAGTGTAGAGTTAAACTGGCTTTATGATAAAAAATAATAACAACAAAACAGGGCTTATTATTTAAGTCATTGGTGCAATTTCAAAGGAAATCTAAGTTTCTATCAAACCTCTTAAAGTGAACAGATTTGGACACGGTGGATATTTTACAAACATGAAGCAGCTGAAGTAACTCCTTTTTGGTGTTCTTATATTCTGGTAGCAGGTTCAAAGTTAGACGACTTTGTACAGTGTTTCCTCTAGAATTTTTTTCAGCAGCGGGGGCAGGCTCTCTGGGAGCTGTGGCGGTGTAAACAAATGACATTTGACTGCAGATTTTACTTTTGCAATCTATTTATTGAATGACCAGTTGAAAATGGCTTTTTAAAGGCTAAATGTAAAAATTAAAAGAATAAAAAATAAAGCAATAAAATTAAATAAATAAAAATAAAAACAATAAATAATTTCTTGATGGGCTGTAGAATCAGTGGCTCAGAACAATTAATTTTTCCCCCCTTTTTTTTTTTAAGAGCTCTAAGGCTCTGTTGTAGGGAAATTCTCTGAGAGGCTCAGCAGCATACATGATGCAAGCTGATCTCCTATAGCCTGTTTCTCAAGTCAGTCTTCATCTACAAATAGAAACAATAATGAGATTGTTTCTCTCAATTTCCTACACCCTAATCATTTAAAATTGTTTCTGGTTTGTGTCTGATGATATATTATTAAATGTCTGCTGCTGTCCACTGCTCCTCCCTTTCTAATGTTACTGGTCTTATACGATTACACAAAACGTTAACGTTACATCATTTACACTCACATCACATCTCATTGAAATGTGATCACTATTTTTTACCTAACCGTTATCATTTATGAATCAGTAAAAGGCTAATGATACCTGGATAGCGTCATCTTCATCAGGTGTCTTTCTCTTCTTGGAGAAATATTTGAACAAGCTCATCTGAAGATGCAGTCAGCAGTTACATCATGACATGTAGATGTTTGCTTAATGCTATCAGTTAGTTTACTCACGTTAGCAACACTGAGTTGGCACTGGGCCCAATTAACTTAAGATACCGATGTGTTACGTAACATTCGCTGGCCATCACTATTTTGTGAATGTCTATTTAACTTGTAAAATCTATTCTGAGTTACTTTAAGCTAATGAGTCAACCTTTTCTCTTGTAAGTCCTCCCTATTCTCCAGAATGACCGTTGTCTGACTCTCTGACCTGGAGCCTGCTGTTGGACGTGATGTCACTCTCTGCGTTCTTGCGAGTAATTAACGCGGTATTTACCCCGCCAAAGAGTAGAAACTGAGCAAGACCTGTCGTTTACCTTAGTACTCCTGAGTACCCGACCCAGTGCAGGACTCTGCTGTGAAGGTGGAGACATGTGGCGGGGGTGTATTTGCGACAGTAAAAATAGAATAAAATGTTTAAAAAAAAAAGAAAAAATTGAATGAGCAGCTGCTAGGATTTAGGAATCCTAAATGAATGTAGAGGAAACACTGTTGCAGTTATGAATTCAGGATTTTATTGGTGCTGAGCAGCAGCTTGAGTAATGTGTATTTTCAATTAGCCATGTCTGAGTCACTATTTTATAATCTTTCAGTTTACTGACAACATAAGTAACATAACTAAGCTTTATAAACAATTAATCAAAACTGCAATCTAGCTGAATGTAATGTCCAGCATTTATTAGGTTCACTTGACTTAACCAAAATTAATGAGTCTAATGCAGCAAGCGGTTCATTACGGAATTCTTCCTTCATGAAGCGAAACAGTTGATCATTTAGGTTACAAGTTTGGATGCTATTGACCTGTGATGCGTCAAACAAAAAGCGTTTCTGTTATTTAGCTTACAAGAAGCAATACTTAAAATAATGGATCATGCTTACTATGGTAATCATTCTCCAAAGGACCCATTCTGAGGCTGAAATAATCCTTCCAGCTGTGTGGATTAAAACAATGCATCAAAAACCATTATGATGTTGTCTCGTGGCATATATTGAAATATCACTGTGGCTCTCACTTTTTTTTTCTTCCGTCTGTTTTTGCTGTGTGTTTGCAGAAGCTGCAGCAGGAGTTGGAGTTCCTGGAGGTGCAGGAGGAGTACATCAAAGATGAACAGAAGAACCTGAAGAAAGAGTTCCTCCATGCTCAGGAGGAGGTGAAGAGGATACAGAGCATCCCTCTGGTCATTGGCCAGTTCCTGGAAGCTGTGGACCAGAACACAGCTATTGTTGGTTCCACTACAGGTATGAGTAAAAGTAAAAACACAGACCTACACTTGGAGAGGAATTATGATGTGTAGATTTCAAGAAGTAAAAATATGGGGAGCGTGGACTACATGATATGTACCAGAGATTTAAACGTTATCAGCAGCAGTAGGAATTGTTGGCCATAATGTTCAATAGTTTCACTTATATTAATCAGATGCAAACAGACATGAAAACACAAACTGAAATTGCAAAGGTACAAGAACAACTTCAAGTGTGCTCCTTTCCTTGACATATATACATATGTTCTTTAGTGTTAACTTTACATCAGGTGACAAAATAGTCAAAATATTTCAATATTGCATTAACATTACAATTATGACCTGTGTGCCTTCATAATAGGCTAAAGTGGCCAGGTACAAAGCAGGGTGGTTAGTTTCAAAGTAAACTTTTTTTTTTCCTGCCTTTATAAAAATTATGACATTAAAAATTATCAGTAGTTACTGATATTGACCAAAAAGACACATTTTTTGTCCCAAACTCCACTGGCAGGTTTGAAAGTCATGTTATCTTTTTTAAAAACAAACACAAAAAACATACAGTTTATTGTTCTTGCAGTCTCTGAATTAACCATGCATGATGTGCTGTTCGTCTTGTAAAAACCCAAATCTAAGCCTAAAATTGTCA